ATCGCCCATACCACTACACCGCCCAGGATTGACAGCTGCATGTCTAGAGCCAGTTGATGCGTTTGTGGTGCGCACTGGAACAATAGTACGTTCTTTAAGATATCTCGCAATCATCAGCTCATTAACCAGAATTGTTTTGTTATGTTGTTTCTCGCTTAATCAGCAACGGCGAAGTGACTGCTAGTCGTATGCTGCTTTTCTTTTTTCGATTGCTATTACTTTAGCAATGTCTACTAAGGTATTGAAATTCGTAATTTTGCATCAGCTTTTTGCTTCTAAAAATAAATTTAATATGTGAAATGTTCGAAATCACACTTGTGCTCATTATGTAGAAAGCTTGGAAAAAACTAGGGACTTCCGGTTTTTACGTTCCTGACACATTCATACATCAACGCCTACATGTTTGGCGATCGGACATTTCCTAATGAATGGCCGATCGTTCCGTGATTACTTATGTTACTGAAAGATCTTGACGTTTAATTTTATTGAAACACGTAAATGGAGGGTTAGGAATTGATTTGACTTGTATAAAATTCATTTCTACATTCTGATTTAGATACGTAATTTATTTTGTATTTTCGAATAAATTGTGTTAGTACCAGGTTAGAGAAAACCCATATATCCGGTTTCTATCTTTTTAGGTTCAATATTCACTTGTGTACTCGATATTATCTTGTATTTTAGATTCAGGTGCTATTCTGATGATTTTTTTCGTAAATCTAGCCATCATTACGTTGAGTAATCCTTTCATTATTCTGAGAGCGTCATCGGAATAATCCGTACAACTAGCTTGCGCCAGTTCTGTCGTGATCATTACACGAATGCAAACGACGTCATTACGCAGCACAACAACGCGTATACTCATTTTTTTCTGCAGTAGTTTGTTTAGGAAATTGTCTAATATATTCTAACAGACCACACAATGCAAGACCATCAATTTCAAGCAAAATAATGCAGCAAAAAATTAAATAAAAACCAATCAGATTAAAATTCTTACCGCGAGTTTCATCTAAAATAGAGTACCACTAAAAATGACATTATTGCAAGATGTATTAATTGGAAATGGGAAATTAAAAAATCAAATTTTGATTGCTTCACCTTAATGTCGGTTGGGGAAAATTAAATAATAATTTGAACACGGCGGAATGACCATCAATAATATGAATCTGCTTAATTTGTTATTTTTTATTTTTTTTCGACGCGTGTAGTTGTTACATCGCAGACTGAACAGGATGATACAACTGTGTGAACGAGACTTCAAGGTCAAAGGTCAATTTAAAACTATCTTATATTATTTTCATAAAAAACTGGTACCTAGTCAAATTATATTTAAATACTAGCTGTTCCTGTGCAGGCGCGGCTTTGTCTGCATGAAATTATATGAACACTTTATTTTACTTTGAATTAAAAAGATACAATAGTGAGAAGCCCATGTGTTCTCAGACTATCGTATACATCTATACCAAATTTCATCGAAATCCACTAAGCCGTTTAGGCTACAAACATCCATTCATCCATCCTTACATCTAAACTTTCGCATTTATAATATTAGTAAAGTAAAGTAATTATGTACAGTTGCGAAAAATGTTCAATTGCAAATGTCAAAATTCAAATGCAACAGTCAACAAAAAACTTAAAGACGTAAAAGTATAGATATAGATAACCTTTTTAATCCAATCCCGACTGGTCTTTATGAAACAGTTTATAATACTAACCATATTCTCGAATCCGAAGTAATTCTGCAGATAAAAAACATTCCACCACCATCCTTGCTGACAGACTTCTGCATTCTTAGTGACGAGTGAGCCCCACATAGGACCCATAGAGATGTTGTCCCAAATATACGCGTAAAACAGTATCACAGCTAACAATGCAGGTGTCAGTCTGGAACAAAATGATTTCTTTAAAATTTTGTTACTGCAATGGAATTCTACGGTTACGTTATCAAATATTTAGTACCTTAATAAGGAACCTTTAAACTTAAGTGATTAGTTATTTTATCTTTTGTCAGTTCCTTAAAATTAAGTGCTAAAATGTCAAACATTACGAAGCACATCGCTTAATATAATTTTATACTAAGAGTGTGCGCACACCTGAAACTAAAATATCGCAGAACTGTTTAGTCTCACTTTGACATCATTAAGCTTATATGGAGGAACGAACGCTTCTCAATTTATATTTGTGCAACTAAACAGTTGAATGGACTGCAAAACAATACACAATCGCATGATTGTGCGATTGTCGATTATTTGGTCAAACGTGTGCGCCCGCTCTAAAAAGTATAAAATAAACAAAAGACAAACATTTTTTTATAACACGTACTTAACTTTACATTAGCTGTTATGTACAAAATGTTATAAGACATTTTTTTTTTTGTTCTTTAACACATTTTATCATTATCAAAAACAATTGTTTATTTAACGTGTTATCCTCTGTCAAAATACATGTAAAAATATTGTAACTATTTTTAAATAGTATGAAACTGATGTTTTATACATTACCTAAAAAGCGCACAATATAGATTTGTATAAAAATTGTATCTTGGATCAGTTAATTAATAAAACATCTAAGCGATTAAGGAAAAAATAAAATACGTGTTATGTAGGAACTAATTAAAGGTACCTTGTATGCGTAACATTTAGAAAATGTTTAGTAGTTAAATTATTTTAAATTAAAACAAAATTATAGATTTTGTCATAATAATTAGTCAAAACAACGATTTTGTACGAATCTGAATCATATAGAATAAGATTAAGTTGCTGTTAGAATTATTTCGTTATATTAATGACTAGCTATTACTCGCTACTATGCCCGCGAAATATATCCTATGTTACTCTTGGATAACGTAGCTTTTTAATGGTGACAGAATTATGGAAATCGGCCTTGTAGTTTTAGAGTTATTTCAATACATGCAAAAGACCATAAATACAAATCCTCCCCTTTTTATAATATTAGTATGCTATTTATATTTAGTGATTAATTTAAATAGTTCTGAACCGCGTTATTTCATCTTTTCGCATATACTCATATGAAAACTACACTACATCAGAGTCTTCCGTCGCATCCGGAACCGTAATTTATCGTACGTTGTTAACGTCATCTGCGACCGACCAGCAATTATCGATCTCATAATCGATTATGAACAACTTATCAATTTTAATTACTTGAGCGAATATAAATAGGTGGTTGTGAGTTATTTTTAAAGCGCCTGAAAACAAATCATAGCAAACTATTCTTATTTAAAAATTTGCCTCAGTAATAATGATTTGTAATACTAAAGAAGACTACATCTTAAGTATCGTTTTATATAAATTTCACTTATTTTAAAAATAGCGAAGATAGTAAAAGAAATAAACGTTATTTTTTTAATTTAAAGCTATCGTCTTGCTATTTCCAAGATTGTATCAACACATTCGATCTTTTATTCAATGTAAATATCTACGTTTACCTCAAGTATCTGAAAAGTATCCTCTTAAACGCTCCAGATTCGTTGTCATTTGCTATGCGATGCGCTGTGAGAGTCCCGCTCAGCAACAGGAAACAGTCAGTGTACATCCAGCCAGCGCGGCACCACGACCATAGCGGAGAGCTTACCACCTGGACAGAAAGAACCAGTTAAAAGTGAAAAACAAAAGTAATTTTACATGACGAAAAGAAGGACTCTTTAAGACGAAAAAAGATGTAAAAATACACTCAACATTACCTAACCTACAATAGTGTAAGAGCAGGCGTCATTATCTGTATCAATTACTAAAATTCAAACGCATTATCCACAGGAATTGCAGAAAATATTTAGAAAGGAATAGAATAGGGGGTATCACTGATAAGAATAATTAAGTACTTCAGACTATTAAACTTTGTTAGATATAAAAAAAAAACACGTTAAATAATATTACGCAAGGACAAAAGTTACAACTACTTGAGAAAAATAAACTTTTTAATAAAAAAACAAAACCGACTTCCAAACAAAATACACGAAAAACAAAACAAAATGCACTAAAAACAAAACAA